CACACTAATAATCCATATGGTCAATGGATTTCCAGAGTTGGCTATGACGATCACTAGGCTTCCTGTGTTCTATAAACAGAGAGATTTTTACTTCTACCCTGCGTGGGCTTACGCAATTCCTGCTTTCCTATTAAAAATCCCTATTTCTTTGATAGAATCTCTACTATGGACGTCTATTACTTATTACGGAATTGGATACAGCCCAGAGGCAGTAAGGTAGCTTTCCTATTTGTAGTGTTTCAACTCTTTAGCATTAATGTTACATAATTCTGATCAGCTTGTCTTATTAGGTTCTTCCGCCAGTTTCTTCTGCTTCTCATCTTGCACCAGGTGTCACTTTCCTTGTTTCGTTTCCTTGCCTCATATTTCCAGACACCAGTGGCTTCTACAGTGAGCGGTACCTTGACTTTTCTAGTACTCCTGGTATTTGGCGGCTTTATTCTACCATATCGTAAGTGTATTCTTTCCACATTCTCAAATCTCAACCCATCATTATGTCATCATTATTACGTTTCTTACTTGTCAAAATGGGGTCAGTATCAAGCACAAGTTGCTAATTAGGCAACATATAAACAACTAAGTAAAACTATCTAGCTGACTGTCAATCTAATATCAACTCTCTGCCTACAATTTCCCAATATGGCCTAACAGTTCACACTAGTCCAACCCAAGAGAAACCCTAAAATTCATCCAGAGTAAGATCTATATAGCTGTGTAGGTAGGATGCAAATGGGTACTAATATCCGAGGATATATCTGTATCATGAATATGGATATTGATTATTGAATATCCATATCCGGGCGATGTGGATACAGATATCATTTTAATTTTTTGAAAGGATTATGACAATGATATGAAAATAGAAAAAATATCTGAATCCAGTTCTGGAATCTAAGATTCTGAGTATCTGCATTGATGGTTAGAAACTATTTTGACTTTAGATCAGTGGATCCCAAGTTTATTTTCACGATCTACAGACCTAACCTTACATTTTATGCATGCCAAATGCGTTGGGGACCTATGATTTGAGAAATATGTTTTATTTAAACAGCTATGTATCATATAGCATCTATATTCTTTGAGTTCTATCAATTTCTCTCATGTCCAATATGTATCCGGATTTATTTTCCTCTCCTCTGAGCCATATTCCTATTCTACTTTGACCGATATAATTTTTAGTTACTAAACTATACATTGGATATGACATATACCATATGTGTCTCCTCTTACTAATATAATTCGGTAACTAAAATCCATATTCATATCTGCCAAAGTAGAATATGGATATGGCTCAGAGGAGAGGAAAATATGATATGATAAGCAGTAGGAAATCACAACCAACTATGACATAAAAAAATCAAAAGTCAAAGGGAATCATAATCCTAAAATATTGGATATGACATATACTAATCATGATTTGCTTGTTCAGACTCTATGCCTAGCTGGTTAAAGTGGGGATTTTGGTGTTCCCCATTAACATATGCAGAGATAGGCTTGGCAGTAAATGAATTCCTTGCACCGCGGTGGGAAAAGGTGAGGCATAAAACTGATTAACTATTTTTCTTATTAGCCTCACACGGAATCTCTCTCCAACTATACAAATCTTCCTATACAAAAATCCTATTTTACAGATTACATCAGCAAATACAACTATAGGACAGCAAGTTCTGACAAGCCGTGGACTGAACTTTAATGGCTACTTTTACTGGATATCAGTGGGTGCCTTGGTCGGATACGTTTTGCTCCTTAATGTGGCATTCTCTTTGGCAATAACTCTCAGAAAACGTAAGAAGTATAACCAACTAATATGATAAGAATCATATAACTCTCAAGTATCCTACATTCTCATAAGGGAAAAGAAAAGAAAACTTACAAAATGTATTCCAATTTCAGAACCTGGTGTATCTCAAGCAATTATATCCCAAGAAAAACTTTACCAAATAAAGGGAGAAGAAGACACTAAGGACGAAAGGAAACTACATGATACTTCACCAAGTATATCTCCTAGGACTGCCACAGAACATAAGAGAACAGGTACGGCTGTTTAGTCTGATTCTTCATCAAGGAAGAAAAGTTGATACTGGTTAGGACTTGGAGGAAATAAAAATAAACTAAACTTAATGAAACATGCTGCAGGAAGGATGGTTTTACCATTCATTCCCCTCACAGTAGCATTTCAGGACGTGAAGTACTATGTTGACACTCCTCTGGTAATCATGTTATGATCCTAGATCACTATAATATATGGAAATTCACATTATTAATACTCATACTGTTCCATACTAGGAAATGAGAGAACAAGGCTATACGGAGAAACAGCTACAACTTCTCCACAATATTACCGGCACATTCCGTCCTGGAATTCTTACAGCGCTTATGGGTGTTAGTGGTGCAGGGAAGACCACGTTATTGGATGTTCTTGCAGGAAGAAAAACAGGGGGTACAATCGAAGGGGACATAAGAATTGGAGGATATCCTAAGGTACAACAAACATTTGCTAGGATATCAGGTTATTGTGAGCAGAACGACATACACTCTCCACATATTACTGTAGAAGAGTCAGTAATATATTCAGCCTGGCTGAGGCTACCATCTCAAGTTGATCCAACCACTAGATCTGTGAGTTTGCGCATCTCTTTTTTCCATGAACTATCAGTCTATCACTATAACTCTCATAGAATCACATGTATACAATAGATCAATAATACTGCCAGTTCAATTGATATCTTTCTTGTTAGATTTAGTACCAGTTGTGTTTGATCAACAGGAGTTCATAAATGAAGTGCTTGAAATAATTGAGCTTGATGGCATCAAAGCCTCCTTAGTTGGAATACCTGGGGTCAGCGGATTATCTACTGAGCAGAGGAAACGACTGACTATTGCTGTAGAACTTGTTGCAAATCCATCTATTATATTCATGGACGAACCCACATCAGGTTTAGATGCTAGAGCAGCTGCAATAGTAATGCGTGCAGTGAAAAACGTTGTTGGGACAGGACAAACAGTGGTCTGCACCATTCACCAACCTAGTACTGATATTTTTGAGGCATTTGATGAGGTAATAATGGATTTATGTTGCAAATACACGGATAATAATGCAGCAAAAACCCACTAAAAAGGAAAAAATTCTAGGAGAAATAAACCATAATCTTAAGTGTATATAACCAGAATTTTTTAACACATCTTTTTATGACTTGACGATATCAGCAACATGTAAGAGTGTGGTGACTATTTAATGGCCACATAGTTCTAAATTTCTGAAAGGTACCGAACAAAAGAACTGAATTTTCATTAAACAGAAATAAAACATCTATGTCATCTGTAGATGAAAACCGTCGCAGGATCAAAGAGCTGAACCATGGCTACCGAACACTAAATATGGACAGGAGACTTCTATCTAAAAAATTGTTTTAAGACAACATACCATGTTAGAAAATATAGGAAACAGTTCCAATACTTATAGGATATCATACTTATACTCTTAAGATCTTTTTGACACTTCATGATAATTATTTAACTTTAATAAAAAACACATATGCATACTTTTTGGACTGAAAAAACTAAAAAATAATTCAAAAATAGTTGTAGTATTTACTAAAGAACCATTTATATAGACAAACTTATTGAAAATTACTTATATTAAACCTTAAACTTTAGCCGTTGAATGGAGAACACAAATTAAGTAAATTAAGTACACAATAAGAATTAAATTTACTTAAGGTTACATTAAAAAAAGTTTCTACTTTCTTCAAGTTGCACACTACAATATCCTTTCTGTGTGAAACTTATTTTTTTTCCTCGTACAGCGATCTCTAAATTTATTTGAACAGTTACAAATAAAAGTTTAACAAAAACACAATTGAGCATACTATACATACACATAGACATATATGAATATGACTATACATATATGTGTCCTACGTTTTTTTGCGAGTATGTATCTTATTTCAATAATTCCATATTGATAACTATGAGCTTTACTACTACCTTTACTATCCAACCTACTGAAAGATCCCTGCAGTTAGCATAATCAATGTTGATGATTCTAGATATAGCCAATATAGCATTCTTCATCTGATATCTTAACTTCTCGCTACAAAAATTAATGCATTAGAGTATTTTATTATCTGGATTAGTTCTCTGTCTCTGCGTTCAATTCAGGCTTTTGCTGAGAAACAAAAATTTCATTTTCCTGCAGCTAATTTTAATGAAAAGGGGAGGTGAACTGATATATGTTGGGCAGTTAGGTCAGCATTCATGTGAAGTTATTGAATATTTTGAGGTAAGTTATCCATATACATTATCATCTAGGTTATAAAGTCTACTATTAGATAGAATCAGAGATATGTGATGCTGTCTTCTATAGTTCAAAACTACGGCACACAGATTACATTGTCTTAGATCTCTCTTCCATCTGTGCTATCTTTATTAAGTTTGAAACTCTTATAAGTTTGAAACTGAACCACATAAGGTGTAAGGTTCATTACAACCAAACCACAGCTATATGTCTTGTCAAGTAAGCCTGAATATTACACAGTTTCATTATACTTGTGCATGAAACTTGAAAAGAAATTTTTATTTTACTTCAGAGATAAATTATGGTGTTATGTATGTATATAGCGACAAAGAGAAATAAAACACATTTCATCAATACATCTACTAAGTAGCTTAAGCTGATTGTTCCTGATCTTACTGTATCAGGGCATTACAGGGATACCAAGGATAAAGAAAAATTATAATCCAGCAACATGGATGTTGGACGTTACCTCTACATCTGTTGAAGCGCAACTTAATGTAGATTTTGCACAAATATACAGACAGTCGCCACTATACAGGTGAATTAATTATTAATATGCAGATGCTTATATTTAATATTTGCTTATGCCTTTGATGCTAAGTGTACAATTGGAAGACCTTATAAATAAACAATTTCTATCAAAATATGAAACATTATCATGACATTGTTCAAATTTTATCTAGGTGCAGATTGTAAAAGTTACCTTATGTTCTATTTTCCCCAATTCCAGGAATAATCAAGAGCTCGTCAGACAAGTTAGCAAACCACCACCAGATTCAAGTGATTTACACTTTCCCACTCGTTTTCCACAAAATGGATGGGTGCAGTTCAAAGCTTGCCTGTGGAAACAGTACCTGTCATACTGGAGAAGTCCTTCATATAACTTGACGCGCATGATATTTGTAATTATCTCCTCAACTGTATTTGCAGTTCTGTTCTGGAAGCATGGGAAGACACTGTAAGTCAGTATACATGTGTCAGGAGCTTTAAAATAGAAAAGTCAATAATTCTTCTAGCTGGAATTTTCATATATTATATAATAATAAATATCAAAGCAGATCCTTGGAAAAGGCAAAACGTTACGGTTAGTGCCACAAATAGAAGCTAATAAGGCAGGAAAATAGCAGATCCTTGGAAAAGGCAAAACGTTACGGTTAGTGCCACAAATAGAAGCTAATAAGGCAGGAAAATGAAACATAAGAAAACAAGACAGCCAGTGCATCATTTATGAGGCAGGAAGATGTGCATGGAGGGAGTGAGGGAGGGATATGAGAACAGGTGTGCTTGCTCTATTGGATTGGACTCTATTACAGAGGCAAACATTAATTGCATTAAAGTAATTAGCTTTTGAACACTATCCTATTGAAATAAATGGACAATGATTATTCGCAAAAAAAGGCCATAAATAATTAGCTTTTGAACACTATCCTATTGAAATAAATGGACAATGATTATTCGCAAAAAAAGGCCATAAACAAATGAAACATAAAAAATAATTGTAAAAAAACCACATCACATAAGTGACATGCACATTGCTCCAAAATCCTTATTTAGTATACAAGAACATGTTGAGTGTATTTGTGGAAGCTGACATGCCCCACTGAATGGTTTTGAAACCACAAGATAAGGACCATAGCTGACCAGGATGCAGGTTAAAGAAGAGTTCAAAAGGCATTTTGACGCAGCTAGGCCATGGCAGATAATTCTTTTAAATTTCCCCTCAGGATATGGTGCTCTCGAGCTCTTGCTTAATCATGTTTGATTAGATACCACTTAGATCACTGCTGCGACATGATTCTCAAAAAAGAATCAAGAATTAGATCAAATTTCAAAGTGATAACCCAAAATGTTGAACTCTGAAGGGAAACTCAGAATTAAGTATTAAAAACCACAAGAAGACCCTTGCCTCTTACCTCAGACACTAAATGGGAGAGGCCATGTTAGACCTCAAGTATAATAAATGGAACGATTTTAATCAGTGCTCCAATTTGGAATACCCTTCTCAGACATAGGCTTGAAGCATCAGCGAATAGAATGACAAACAAAAATCTGATACATTCATGAAAAAAGTTCTCTACATTGAGCAGATTTCTCCGTAGAATACCACACTGGTGGATTCTATTTTTAAGACTAATACATATATGGGCTATACTTTCTGTACTGACGTCTGTTTGTTTCATTTGTTGAAGAAACAACCAGCAAGATCTGTTCAACATGCTGGGGTTAATGTACGTTGTCACGAACTTCTTCGGCATAAACAACGCATCCTCAGTTTTGACATTCGTAGCAACTGAACGAACTGTTCTATACCGTGAGAAATATGCAGGAATGTACTCTCCATGGGCCTACTCATTAGCACAGGTTAAAAAAGTCATCTTTATATGTAGCGTCTTAGACACACACCCATTGATACATGAAAACACACCATAAACAAATAGCTTACATGACTTTACAGTAAGTTCTGATATTCTTTATTTTCGGCAGATGGTAATTGAGATTCCTTATGTATTCATCCAAGTAGGATTATTTATCGTCATCACATATCCAACAATTGGCTATTATTGGTCAGCTCAAAAGTTCTTATGGTTCTTCTTCACCATGTTCTGCACATTGCTCACTTATGTTTACCTAGGAATGTTGATTGTTTCATTGACCCCCAATGTTCAAGTGGCTTCCATACTGCAATCTCCCTGCTATGGCATTCTAAATCTCTTCTCTGGCTTCATCATACCAGGCCCAGTAAGTTTTCCTTTCACTTAATTACATATTTCCATGGAACAAAATCTCCTTTACCATATTTAGAACAGCTGATGTTTTTACAGTCAATACTGCTGTAATACATTTCTTCCTAACAATTTTCCTCTGACAATACTGTTAAAAGCACATAAATTAAGCTTAAGTAATAAGTACATCTTGGCCGTCTGACATTCAACAAAGTTGTAATGCAAGGCTGGTTTTTGGATAAAATCAGTGCTAGAAAATAACTTGTAGAATAAATTGCATAAGATGGGTTGAATTCTTATTGCCAGATTTATTGGTTAAATTAACTCTCTTAAAGAATCCTTCATATTCAATCACATGCATACAGTTAAATCCAGAAGTGTAAGATGATTTTTTTCCTTTCTTTATACAGTTCATTTTATTTTCAAATTGATAATGTAATTTCATTTGGTATTCTATTAAAATTGTGTCTTAAATAAATACAATTTCCTGCAGTATAGCTTTCCATGTATCCTATTTCTGTTTCTAAACTCCATGCTGAGAGAACTTGGGAGCATGCCCTTTTTTGGAGGTTAAACTGTTCACCAAAGGCAAATTTTCCTCGCAACCAAACAATCCCTTCAAGACACTTTTAGCAAAACCTTCTTCTCCTCACACTTGTAGGATCAAGAGATTGGCAGGCATTTGCATTTTGCAAAGTTGTGATATACTCTTTCATTTATAGTTAATGACGGTGCTTTGAGATTACACCATTGCCAAGTCATATGTCTCCTGTTACTAGGTTGCAAGCATGCACCTACGTGATATTAGTTAGAATTATTTGCCTAATATAAGATAGAAAGTTCTGTGGCTTCCTGCCTTCGACTAGTTCCATGACCAACATAATGGTGAAAAAAAAAGCTTAAGAAGAAGATAATGATGTTGTAACTGAAAAACTATCTATGAATAAAGTAAAGGCGCATCAGACATTGTTGAAGATTGATTTGTTTCTGGTGATCAATAATACTATGATGATATTTTTCTTCAGGTTGGACCGTTGGAGTTCTTAAGATCTAAAAGTGCACACATAATGTGTGTATGTGTATGAGTAAATTATTAACATCATTATAAATGTATAACTAGACATTGTAAGGTATATCAATGACATCGCGTTTTTTTCTGAGTTAATTGTTTTAAGGTGTCTTAAATTAAAGTCATTTATGTAATTATGTTAAATATATAAAATTTATTTATCTGGTATCTTGGTGATTCCTTGCAGCAAATCCCGAAGTGGTGGATCTGGCTTTATTATATCAGTCCCATGTCATGGACCCTAAACAGCCTGTTTACTACACAATATGGAGACATAGACAAGGAGATCATGGTGTTCGGAGAAACAAAACTAATTTCCTCCTTTATAAAGGACTACTTCGGATACCACCATGACCGTCTGGGAGTTGTGGCTGTTGTTCTCATTGCCTATCCTCTCATCTTAGGTTCTCTCTTTGCATTTTGTATAGAAAAGCTAAATTTTCAAAGACGATGAGAATGATGTTCATGTACTACTATCAAAAAAATATTAATGTGTTACTATTACTAGTTGTAAATGCAAAACTTCATACCAAATTGCATGTTCAAGTTCTCATGACGTAATGGCAATATATTGTTTCGTCTAGCAAGCATATCCAAGAAAACAACTTTAATTACTAAACTTGCACTTTCTAGCAGAATATATCTCTATGATACGTACACAAAGAAAATATATATACTTACAACAGTGTATACACATTTCGTACACAGTTTCATACATTCATTTATGTATTCAATGACAGTTTGTACTTGTAGAAAATGATCATATTTTTCAGAAATCGTGTTTTTCTTCTCATGCAAGTTTTTCTTCTACTTTGTGGTTTTTCTCGAACTTTAGCTAGGGAAAGGAGATCTTTTTGTATGTATCTAGGACTTGGGTATCAGAAGCTGTACTTTAATAACATAGATATCGGAGATGAAATGATATACAATACTATTTTACATGTAATCAATGTCGAATACACAATGAAGTTAAGATCAAATATGTAGTGTATAGAAGTCATAGTGCTGAATTATTGCCAGTTAATGTTCTGGTTGTCAGATCATGGAGCAAGGGTTATTTTTCTGTTTTCAGAATACAGAGTTTTAAATTGCTAACTTCATATAAGTTCAAAAGGAGCATATCTAGTATTTTCCTCTCCAATGTGCAGTAGTTTATAATGTGAATTTGTTTTAAAATATTCAAACAAAACTCACGCGAAAATAGTTGATCGTTTTAAAAGGAGCATATCTACTATTTTCCTCCCCAATACTTGCACGCATAACTTGAGCTGCAGCTTTAATAGCACAGCCATCCAATAATTGTCTCAAATACGGTCTTGATGGAGTCACAGTCAGAGACTATATTACTATAACAAAGCACAAAATCATTGTAATCATCCATTAAATCATGATTAAAAAAATAGTAGAATAAGCAATTTTATATACCCTATTAAGATCCCATTCATCTCTATTAGTTCCTCTCATGCAACCTTCCAACAGCACAAGCTAGATTGCCATTGATTTTGTTACAAGAACACAACACACGGCTAACATCTCCCTCCTTCACACATAACTCAAATGGCTTAAGATTGATTCAACCATATCTCTCTCAGTCCCTTCAAGAAAAATTCAATAACTTTCATCGTACATACATATGCTTCATTAAAAAAGACTATGAAATTAAACGACAATACATGCATTGGCTTAATAGTAGAAGCAATCAACGCTCATGCTACCGTTGGTGTCACATTCATTCACGTTTTCGACAAAAACATTTCCCGGGAAAAAAATATACATACATGATCAAATTCCTTCAAAACTCGAGCATGCATGCGTGCTTGTTGAGTGACCCCAATTCACGGAGATCTTCCAATTAAGTTTTAGCCTGATTGAAGTCAAACAGAAACATTTCGAACCATCACACTCTATGAGTTGCCCAATATGTACGAAAATGATCATCAAATTAGGGTTTAACCTCCTCGAACTGCTCAAATGCGCTAAATTTCATAAATGTACGAAAATGATCATCAAATTAGGGTTTAACCTCCTCGAACTGCTCAAATGCGCTAAATTTCATAAAACAAAGAGACAGTTCAGACCTGAGAGGACAAAATCCTCGACGGCGGCAGACTCGCCGACGGAAATGATCACCGATTCTCGCCGAAAATTGGAGAAAACGGAGGGGAGAGGAGATTCTAGGGTTTTGAATTGAAATGACGTTGCTTTGTCGAGTTCGGGGGGCTTCGGTCTTTTTAAGTGTAAATTTTAGCCAACCCCATTAAGTTTTTATTCCTTTACAGATAACCCCTTTAACTTAAATGCCCAAACCCCCTAAGTTTTGGGGTTCTCAATCACCGTTACCCTTCGAGTTTTGCTACAGTGACCCAAAATATAGGACGAAGACAGGTGAGGTGTCCCCCTCCTATTGCATGACCAACTCATTATGCAATAAGAGGGGGACACCTCACCTGTCTCCCCTAGGGAATTTTTCCTGGTAAAATTATGTCGGAAGTGTTTTCGCCGGTGAAAATCCTTGTTCAAGCTCTTCGAGAGGACTTTTGAATAACTTGAAAGTTGAACCGGGCTTTTTTGAGAACCCCAAAACTTTAGGTATTTATTGTTTCGGATTGTACTGAAATTGGATCAGGTCATAGACAATTTATTTCGTTTTTCTTTTTATTTTCCTTATTATTATTATTTTAAATATTTATTTTGATGGAACATCATATTAATTTCAAACAGAGCATGACCAGTACTTGAGAGAGAGAGAGAGAAAAAAAGGATATATTGAAGAAAAAGAAAAGAAAAGAAAATCAAAGCTCAGAAACCAAAAGAGTGGTGCTTCAACTAAAATCAATTTGAATAGAGACAATCCATCTACAAACAATATCAAGACCCACAAACAAACACCAATCCAATTATTAAACTAACAACTCGATTACATTCAACACGAAAGTTGAATGACGAACACCGCCAAAAAAAACTCAAACCTCCTTCTGCAAGTGAACGTAAACAGGCAACTTCTGGTCCCCAACAAGGAGAGTGTGCTCGCCCTGCGGCAAAACCTCTTGTGCAGACTCCGTAACAAAAGCCAGCCTCTTGCAAGCATCAATCTCAAAGCTCACCACTTTACTCTCTCCAGCCTTCAAGAACACCCTCTCAAACGCCACGAGGTCCTTGATCGGAGCTCCGATAAGCCCCTGAGGCTGCTTCGCGTAAAGCATCACCGCGTCGCTGCCGTCGAGCTTCCCTACGTTCGCCACCGAAACCTGCACGCTGACGTCCCCCGCGGTGCAATCAAGATCAGACACCAGCGCAGACTGGCACGCGGGGACGTCGGTTAATTGCTTGTCTTCGAAGGGGAGGAAGTTGTAGCACTGCCTCGCGTTGTTGACGTTCTTCGTGACCAAGACGTTGGGGTTCACGAAACTGTAGCTGAACTTGGTGTAGCTCAGGCCGTAGCCGAAGTCGAATTGGGTTGTTCCGTTGTAGAACCTGTAAGTCCGTCCGGGGTACCCAAGCTCATCATTTGGTCGGAATTGTTGAGATGTCTCCGGAATCTGCGACGTATACTCTGATGGGTACCAGGTCACAGGAAGTCTACCACCTGAACCAGAAAAAAAAATATGCGAGATTATATTGTGATGAGACTCAAATCACCGGAATATCTGTTTATACCTGGGTTATATGCACCAAAGATGATATCGGCGACGGCTTGTCCGCCCTCCTGACCAGGATAACCAGCCCAAATTATCGCGTCGACATCACCAGACTTGACGAAGGAACTGATATTAACAGTTCCGGAAGAGAAAATCACGACGACCACCGGACCCTTGGAGACATTGGCGACTGTCTCGATAAGGTGATTTTGATACCCGGGGAGATCAAAACCGGTTCGATCCCAGTCTTCTCGCTCATACGTCAAGTTCAACCCTACGGCGATGACGGTAGCATCTGCAGCCTCTGCGCTCTTCATCGCGTGGAAAACGTACTTGTCAGTGTGACACTGGACGCCATCGCATCCCTGGCTGTAATCAACCTCCGCGTACTTCTTTAACCCGTCGATAGGTGAAATATAACGGCAAGGGACGCCATTGTAATTCCCGATCATGACTTCAGTGGCGTTGGCGTGGGGCCCAACGACGGCGATCCTCTTGAATTTCTGGGGGCTCAGCGGCAATGCGTCACCCTTGTTTTTGAGGAGGACCATTCCTTGCCTTGCTGCGCTCGCCGCGAGCTTCATGTTGTCCACTGAGCAAACATTTGAAGCGTTGAGGTTATCGTAGAGAGGATTTCCGTCGAACCACCCGAGCCTCAGGAGGACAATGTAGTTGTTGATCAGGGCCTCGTCGACATCGCTCTCCTTGATCAGCCCTTTCTTCACTGTTTCTTCTAGGTACTGAGCGTAGTACCATCCACAGTCCAAATCCAAACCTGTGACGTGTACAAATTAGACGCATTCAGTCTTCATGGGGATTTTTTTTATATATATATAATTAAAAGTAAAATTGATCATATATACCTGCACGCATAACTTGAGCCGTGGCTTCAATAGCAGTGTCATCCAACCACTGTTGCTTCTCAAATATGGTCTTGATGGAGTCACAGTCAGAGACAACATAACTGTAAAATTAAAGAACAAAATTACTACAAAAAAAAATCATCATTGAATCCTGATAAGAATCATTAAAAATAAGTAAAATTGTATACCCATGAAGATCCCACTCATCTCTGATGGTTCCCCTCATCCTTCTTCCGTCAGCACAAGCAGGAACTCCATTGATTTTGTTGTATGAACACATCACACTGCTAACATCTCCCTCCTTCACACACATCTCAAATGGCTTGAGGTAAGACTCAACCATATCTCTCTCGGTCACCTACAAAAATCAACAAAAATTCTATAAGCTGTTCATATAACTCATGAGAGACGCAACGAAGTCAACAAAAAAATTCCGCACATTGGCATCGTAATGGAATCGATCAACTGTCATAGAACCAGTAGTTCTCCAGTAATCAACATCATAGGCAGCATAATGCTTGCAGCAGGCCGAGACTTTGAGGGGTCTAGAGTTAGGATCGTTGCTGTGTTCTTGGCCTTCGACATCCTGGAGACCCCTGACAAAGTTAATGGCGTAAATACCAGCCGTGGTAGGGCACTCCCCGGGGGTTTCGAGGGCTCTCCCCCATCTTGGATCTCTGACAAGGTTGATGTTTGGGCTCCAGAATGTTAATCCTGCGAAGCCAAGGTTGTTCATTGCTCTTGCTTCTGTGGAGATGGTCTGCAGTCAAAGGGAGCAACCAGTAGCCAGTGTGACGTCAAGAAAGTAAAGGAAGTTATGAAATGAGTACGAATTGATAATTGAGGAAATCCTTCAATGTTTAGTATGCATCATAAAGATTTGTGAATTAATGTGACCTAGACACTGCATACTATAATCAAGTTTATAGATCAAGGTTGGGGTTGCATGCAAGATGTGATCATGATATATAATTAAAATGCAATGAACCTATTTGACAACTATCTGATTGCCAGAAACAAAAATAAAAAATATAACAAACTGGATTAATCAGAGGAAATGATAAACTAATAGTTAAGTATGCACACATATTCACCTATTAAAGGAATCTGATCAAATAAAAAAAATGAAAGTATTGGATCTAAATCAAACGTCAACATAAACATGTTCATAAAAAAATAAAAATCTAAAAAAAAAAAAATGTGATACCTTGCCAATCTCCCTCCACAAGGTGGCATTAAAGGCAGCAGCAGAGTTAATAGGAAGAGGGAAGCTGGTAGCAGCCTTAACATCAGGCCCCCCGAAAGAAGTCCCCCCTCCAATGTAGGACACCCCATGCAGAGCCTCCGACCACCAGTTGTACGCCGGCAGCCCCAGCCTCGGCACTCCGGCCGCCACCGCGTACCACTCCCCGTTGTTATTGTTCCCCAGCTGCTTCGCCTTCTCCGTCAGATTCATACTGTCGACGAGATTCTTCGCGCGAACGTAGTACGACAGCGATTTGTCGCAGAAGGCGAAGTCGGGGATGCTGAGGTTGAGGGAGGCGTAGCGCTTGGCGTCGCAGACGTGGGTGAAGTTGTAGGGGAGGGGGTAGTCTGCGAGGGAGAGGGCGGCGAAGGAGGTTAGAGAGAGGAGGAGGAGGGGGAGGAGGGAGGAGAGCGAGGAGGCCATTTTTCGGTGAGGAGTGGGGATGAGCAATGGAGAAGGAATGGATCATGTAGGGGGTGATTTATAGGAGAGCCGGGTGGGTTTGATTTTTTTTTTTCTTTTTTTAAATTTTTTTTTTTCAAATGCTGTTAATAGATGGGATTTGGTGATTTTGGAGTGATAGAGATTCTTTAGTTTTGATTTTTCTTGTGATCCTTCGGTTTGTTGGTTTTATCCCGCGCGGGTAACTGATTTTTGAATTCGAAAATCGAAGAAATACGAGTCATTAATAAAATAGAACATACAATTAAGTATATTGTTTGATGTGTTAATTTTACAAACAGCGATGATAGGCGAAGAACATTATAAATATATACTAGAAATCGATACGTTCAAATGCACGTGATATGCATACATGCTATTTTTGTATGTTTTTATTTGGAAAGAATATGAAATAATTATCATTTTATTTAGAATGTACATTTAATATTTAATAGTCGGAGGAGATAGTAATTAGGGACGCTTGACTTTCGAAGAGATTTTACCTTTATTATTTGAACTTGAAATCCTCCTCTGATTATCTTCTCCTCATTATTTTTGTGTACTAGTGTAAATAAATTGAAGCATATATATAGATATATGCTTAGAACATCGTCTTTTTATTTATAGATATTTATTCTCTTTGTATCTTTTATAAAATAAAATACTAAAGAGATATTCAACTATGCATGCTCCATCTTTTTTCATGGTATTTAAATGACATTGAATGTTCTGGAAAGGAAAGGAATAGAAAAGATAAACAAGTCATTCCTTGTAAAATTACATAGAATGTTTTAGAAAGAAACAAAAGAGAAAAAAGAGAAAAAAAATCCTTGTAAAATTACAATATTATCCTTTTAAAAGCAATTGGAAATGATGGTTTGTCCACCGCTCATCCATTTTGTTCATCCCCCTAGTTGTTCTTGTTATATTAATTAGTATAGATATAGATGACTGATACAGTGATTCCAAAATATAAATTGTTAGTTGTTCTTGTTATATTAATTAGTATAGATATAGATGACTGATACAGTGATTCCAAAATATAAATTGTACAAATATTTGTTAGGGTACACGCCAAGAGATATAGATGACTGATACAGTGATTCCAAAATATAAATTGTACAAATATTTGTTAGGGTACACGCCAAGAATAACGCTTCAAACGGAGACGTAAAACACACTCAAACGATCTTGGAAGCATAGAATAAAACCAGCAAATACGAATTCAATCACAGTACTCACAGATATAACATGGTTCACTCTTATGGAGCTACTCTACGGAACAACGACGAATGCCAATTTCTTTATATTCCTTTCGAGGTTACAAAGAAAAAAGATAAAAGAGAACACCCTCTCTTAATCAAGATACTCTCCAAGAATTCTCACAAACTCTCTCTCAAGATCTCTCAATGATATTACTTATATCTGTATCTTTCTCTTTCTCTCTCTACTACTAAGATACTTTACAAATCAAACTTAGGGGGTATTTATAAGTTTTCTCATGGGGGTAGGTGAACCATATTTGGGAGTAGGTGAACACTGTAGCAGGGGATATGTGAATACTATTTGGGGGTAGGTGAACACTGTAGCAGGGGGTAGGTGAGAAGGATATACAGTACTCAATGTTCTCAACAATCTCCCACTTGGAGAGTCTTCTCAACGAACTTTGTTTCTTGGTTGCATCATCCGAATATCTTGTATCTTTAGCGTCTTGCACGACCCTCAATATTCTCAACGGAAGTCATATGAGGCTGCATAAAGTCTCCCCTTCTCGAGCAGAACTAGCTTGGATAGCATATCGGCTGGATTGTACCTCGTATCAATCTTTACAAGCTTGAACTCGTTCCTTCTTTGCCATCTCTGTATGATATGATGCTTCACGTCAACATGCTTGGTCCGGACATGGAATGTGTCGTTCTCTGATAAGTGAATGATACTTTGATTGTCGTAGTGGATGAAGTATTTCTCAAAGCTTACCCCAATCTCGAGAAGAAAAGCTTTCAACCATAGTAACTCCTTTGCTGCCTTTGCTGCAGACACGTACTCGGCTTCAGTTGTCTACATAGCCACGGTATCCTGTAACTTGGATCTCCAACTTATCACTCCACCACCCAAGATAAAGATATAGTTGCTCGTGCTCCTTCTTGAGTCTATGTCCCCGGTGTAGTCTGCATCACAAAAGCCTTCTAACTGTAAATCTACCTCGTCATACTCAAGATAACGGTCGGACGAGCATCTCAAGTAGTGTAGAAGCTACTTGACCGCATCCCAGTGGTGCTTCCATGGATTTCTCATGAAGCGACTCACAACTCCCACTTCTTGTGCAAATATCTGGCCTCGTGCACACCATCGCATACATCAAACTCCCGACGACAGATGCGTATGGTATATTGGCCATAAACTCATGCTCTTCAACAGTCTCTGGTGCTTGGGTCTTCGATAGCTTGAAATAGCTTTCAAACAACGAGCCCACTGGTTTAGCTTTCTCCATGCGAAACTTTTTAAGAATCATCTCAATATAGGCCTTCTGAGACAAACCCAGCCTACGTGCTGATCTGCTCATAGCCCTTCACTACAAGCCTCGCCTTGTATCGTCTCCGTCTATCGGCTTCATCCTTGACCCATTAAATCCACTAATTGTGAAGAGTCTTTCGCCTTCTTGAAAGCTTTACGAGCTCCCAAGTCCTATTCTTCGTCAATGATTTTATTTCTTCCTCTATGGCAGACTCCTACTCGTCCCGAGCTTTGTAGGTCTGCTCTACTGACTCATAGCTCTCTGGCTCACCATTGTTAGTTAGGAGAAGATAATTCATGATGGAAATGTACCTCTCTGGCACCCTTAGATTTCTTAGAGCTTTGTGAATTGCGATCGGCAGCTCTGCTAGATCCTGCTGCTGTGCATCCGACATGTTTTCTTGGTCTCCATCTTCTATGCTGACTGGTATCTCACTGTCGTCCTCACTGTCAGTAATATCTGGGAAAAGAGGAGGAGATACATGACTCCCACTCACCTCTTTGGTCTTGCACACCGCATCCTCATGGAACGCGACGTCACAACTGCGCACCACCTTGCGCGCATCGTGATCCCAGAAATCGTACTCATACTCATCTCCTCCATCGCCGATGAAAGAGAGCTTCTTTGACTTTGGATCAAGCTTTGACCGGTCTGCAGGATTGGTCATGACATAGACATCATAACCAAATACTCGTAAGTGTTCTAGCTTTAGCTTCTTTCCGGTCCAAGCCTCTTCAGGTATCCCATAACTGAGAGTCGTGGATGGCCCGCGGTTGATCAAGTATGCACCAATACTCACAGCATCGGCCCAAAAATTCTTAGATAATCCGGAGTGGATCCTCATACTTCTGGCGCGCTCCAAGATAGTGAGATTCATACACTCTGCCACTCTATTGTGCTGAGGTATGCCTAGAACGGTCTTTAGTCTCATTCCATGGGATGAGCAAAAGTTCTCGAACTCCTGGCTACAATACTCGCCTCCATTATCAGACTTTAGACACTTCAGCTTATTACCTGTTTTGTTCTCCACACAGGCAAGACACTTCTTGAAGATGATAAAAATATCTAACTTGTACTTCAAGAAGAACACTCACGGTTTTCTAGTAGCATCACCAATGAAAGAGACAAAGTAAAGAGAGTTATCAACAGATAGGACTTGCACAGGATCCCACACGTCGGTGTGCACCAACTCTAATTTTCTGCAGTTTTGGAGCCTGCGTGTTCTTATTAAAGCTCACCTTCTTCTGTTTGCCTAGGATGCTGTCCTCACAGAAAGTCAGATCGATCTTGCTCAGATCAAGAAGCCTCTCTCCCGTGGCCATAATCTGCATCCCCTTCTCGCTCATGTGGTCAAGTCGTCGATGCTAAGTCATGCAGTTGATGGATGATGATGATGCTTATCCTGCGGTAAGCAAGCGGTTGATCTTCCCATTAGCGATGTGAGAGACCCCTTACGTTTTTCGTGTGCTATCACCTGGGCACCCTTGGACACCTCCCAGCTTCCCTGCTCAAAGGATACTCTGTAACCAGAGTCAGTCAGTTGCCCAACTAATATAAGATTCCGCCTGAGATCTGGTACATGTTGAACATCATTCAGCGTCAAGGTAGTTCCACCCTCCATATTGAGGGTACAATTTCCCTTCCCAGAGACCTTGCAAGGTTGGTCGTCGCCAAGATAGACTGTTCCCAATTCCTTCTTCACGAACGATGAAAGCAGCTTTTGTTGTGATGTTACATGGAAAGATGTGCTAAAGTCGATGACCCACGCTTCGTTCTTGTCTTTAAGAGATAGGAGAAGCGCATCCGAATCCGTCTCGTGCATAAGATTGACTGCATCGTCAGCCTGATCATCCCCTGCTAATGCTGGAACAGAAGCTCTGCAGTCCCGTGCAAAGTGACAATTCTTTCCACATTTGAAGCACTTCCCTTCATCGTAACCATTCGGGTCCGGCCCTTTAGTTTTCCCTCTGGACTTTGATCGGCCTCGTTGTCCCCTACCCTTCTTCTGCGCATGTCCTCGTGCCTCGACATGCAGAGTACTCCCACTGCTAGAGGTCTCAGCTCCTGAGACTTTACGGCGAGATTCTTCATCCAGAATTGCCTCAATCACCGTGTCGAGTTTTATCTCATCATTGTCATTGGCATTGCTCACCGCCATCACCATATTCTTCCATGAATCTGGTAGACAAGAAAATAGCATAAGAGCTTGGATCTCATTGTCGAACTTGAGATCCACTTCAGTAAGCTGTTACACCACAACCTGATAGCATAAGAGCTTGGATCTCATTGTCGAACTTGAGATCCACTTCAGTAAGCTGTTACACCACAACCTGAAATTCGTTCAAGAAGTCCGCTACGGTCGAACTTGAGATCCACTTCAGTAAGCTGTTACACCACAACCTGAAATTCGTTCAAGAAGTCCGCTACGCAAGCTCCTTCCTACATATTTAGATTGGATAGTTTCTTCATCAGGTACACCTTACTTGAGGCAAACGGCTTCTCATACAGCGCCTCCAAGGCCTCCATCAACTCCTTAGTGGTGGTCACATGCGAGACGTTGTAAGTCACATGCTGGTGAAGGTTGAGCCTGATGGTGGCAAGTGCTTTACAATCGAGCACATTCCCCTTATCGTCGTCCATCTTCTCAGGTTCCTCCGCCTCTCCTTTGAGGGGTAGGAAGAGATCCTTCTGGAACAATCCTCCAATACCTAAAATTTTGGCCATCAAACATCTCAATCCGAAGCATGTTGTCTTCAACTGTAGATCCCATGGTGAAAGATTTCGTCTTTCCCGGATCGTATGCTTTGATACCACTTGTTAGGGTACACGCCAACAAGAACGCCTCAAACGGAGACGTAAAACACACCCAAACAATCTTGGAATCACAGAATAAAACCAGAAAACATGAATTCAATCACAGTATTCACAGATATAACATGATTCACTCTTACGGAGCTACTCCACGGTGCAACGACGACGCCCAATTCATTTATATTCCTTTCGATGTTACAAAAGAAAAGGATAAAAGAAAACACCCTCTCTTGATCAAGATACTCTTCAAGAATTCTCACAAACTCTCTCTCAAGATCTATCAATGATATTATTTATATCTGTATCTTTCTCTTTCTCTCTCTACTACTGAGATACTTTACAAATCAAACTTAGGGGGGTAGTTATGAGTTTTCTCATGAGGGTAGGTGAACACTATTTGGGGGCAGGTGAATACTGTAGTAGGGGATAGGTGAACACCATTCGGGGTATGTGAACACTGTAGCAGTGGGCAGGTGAGAAGGCTATCCAATACCCGACGTTCTCAACAATAATTTACATGTGACATGAAAATCAAGATAGAAGGTGAGAAGGCTATCCAATACCCGACGTTCTCAACAATAATTTACATGTGACATGAAAATCAAGATAGATTGAACATATCATTATATTGAGTAATCTATAAGTTACCTCATAACAAGAATCGCATTGCACCGTCTCAGCTTGGCATATGTACGTTATGTGTGTGTGTGTGACTGTGATACTCACATAGCATACTTAGCTCGGTTATGGTTGAAATATTTCCAACTATACCGATTGATTAGGATAATATTAATTGGACATATTTCTAAGAATGGTGATTGATTAGTATGTACATATGTAACACATGGGGCTGGTTGTACGAACCAGACTCCTCTGGTGTGGGCATATTTTATAATTCAAGGAGCTAAAAAATAAATGACTTTTAAGAGTGCTATATCAATCTTTTTCTATGTCGTGAGATTTATGAAGTGTGGCACTACACACCCCCAGGTACACCTTGTGTCACACCTCCTCTCTCAGCTACAGTGCACGGGGGCCCACACATGGGATTTTTTAATCTCATGTGTGGGCTCCGTGCACTATAGCTAAGAGAGGAGGTGTGGCACAAGATATGCCTGGGGGTGTGTCTGTACCATTTTCCATTTATAAACCCGAAACTTTGAATTTATGTGATTTTTGATATCATGAATTAAAAATCCATAGATCATAACGAGCTGTTTGGATTATTTGTATAGACTGTCCAACATCTATTTTCGTAAGTATCCTTCTATTTCGTAGTTGTTCCATATATAACCTTTGCCCATGGCCCATGGGCCATGGCCCATGGGCGTGTGTGTATAGGTAGCTTTACCGTTCTTACGATATTATAAGCAGCTTGGTTATAACTTGTAACACCTAAAAACAAAATATGATCTATCAACAACTTGGATAATTTACTATGTTAATTTTGATCTACTAAATTAAGGAAGAGACATACTGACTACTCTGACTCATGCATTAAACTATTATAAAATTAGATGGTTGTACAATGGGAGATTTTAAGATATGTGGATTAAGTTGAACTTTAATAAACCATCCAATTTTATTGGCATAACTAGCAATTTTTTTTTATTTTTTATTTAAAGAGAAACTAATGTAAGGGCAGAACTGTGACTTGTGGAATAGATTTTCCATTCAAGAAAAAGTCAAGGAGGCACATTATTGACAACGGGAACATTTCATGATGGTAAACTTCCGAGGCTCATATCTAATCAATTTAATTACAGTTAGATATATCATAATAAAGTCTAGATTTATATCTAATTAGCACAATATTAAAGAGGAAAAATCCAGTCGAATATTGTGAAACAGCAAATTAGATACACTGTTAGTCACCAGCAACTAGCTTATTCTCTCGGATGTTTCAGTTATAAAACAAAACAAAACAAAACAAAAAAAGATCTTTGGTTAATCACAATATTAACCACTTTTTAAATTCAAACACTCTTTAATTCCCTCCTCCCTCCCTCCCCCCCTCCTCCTATAAAAACCCACCTCCCACTCTCACTCCCCACTGATCACCTCGAAAAAACATGGCTTCCTCCCTCCCCCTCCTCTCCCTCCTCCTCGTCCTTCGGCTGCCGCGTCACGCGCTCAGCCCGCACCGTCCCGACCCAGCCGAGCCGCCAACCCTCTCGAGCGCCCGGCCCGATCCAAGTCGCACGGCCGGAGGCTTCACCAAAGTCTGCGACGGCGGGGGGGGAGGCCACCGCTTCGCCCTTCCTCGCGCCTCGACCATCGGCGGCTTCGCCTACTGCAACACCTCGCTCCCCTACGCCACCCTGGGTCGAACAGCCTCATCGGCCTGATAGTCCGTCGCGCAGAAGGCTCCAGCCAGAATCGGCGACATCTCGGATGGCGTAGGAGGACGCGGCCCCTTCCAGAAAGCTACAACTGGTGGGCCGAGGCCCTCCACGGGATTTCCAGCGACGGGGTTGGCACCCACTTCGGGCCCCTGGCCCAGGGCGCTACCAGCTTCGCCAACGTCATCCTCTCCGCGGCTTCCTTCAATCAGACTCTTTGGAAAAAGATGGGCCAGGTAATTTCGATAGAACAAATTTTCAAAACAGCCTCAAACCAGTAGTGTTTAATTTTCAAAACCGACCCATTTTTTTTTTACCAAAATCGACCAACTTTTTGTCACGTCAACTTAATCTCATTTCCTAATTAGTCGGGATTGCCAACGATCGATTAATGTATATATACTGCATTGTTTCAGGCTGTTTCCACCGAGGGAAGAGCCTTGTACAACATCGGCTACAGCGTCCTGACATTCTTCTCCCCGAACATCAACGTCGTCCGCGACCCAAGGTGGGGCGGACGCATCGAAACCGCAGGGCCCGAAGACCCGAAGCTCGTCTGGCCGGACTACGGCGTTCAGTTCGTCAGGGGCCTACAGGACGTCGAATGGGCACGAAGGCTCGCGGCGGGACCCTAACGCTAGGCCCTCAAGGTCGCGTCTTGCTGCAGCATTACGCCGCTTACGACGCTTCGAAACGCGACACGCACGGCGGGATTTATCCACACACCGCCGCACGTTCGACGCCAGCCCGTACGTTAGACGCCCCCCCCCCCCCGCCCCCTCTCGCCTGAGAATTCGGTATTCTCGCGACCCTTTGAAATCAAGTCGTAACGTCATTCTCGCTTGTGACTGGTTCAGGTGACGGAGCAAGATATGGTCGAGACGTTCCTCCGGCCTTTTGAGATGTGCGTGAAGGAGGGTGACGCGAGCAGCGTTATGTGCTCGTACAACAAGATCAACGGCGTTCCCTCGTGTGTCGATACTAGGCTCATGAAGCAAACGATCCGAAATGAGTGGAACCTTCATGGGTACGTTCGGATTGATTCAAATATCACGTTCAGAAAATCATAAAAGAAATTAGCTGCACGAACCGATTTATAATTTTTTTTTGAAATTTTTGATTCTAGTTACATTGTGTCGGACTGCGACTCCCTCGACGCCATCTATTCGTACCAGCATTGGCTCGATTTCAGCCCAGAGGAAGCAGTGGCTGCAGCAACGAGAGCTGGTATGTCTTCAATTGCCTTAACCCGAACTTTATCGACACAAGATTTATGTGCACATTGACACCTTGGTTACGTGTATCGTCTCAGGTCTGGACTTGGATTGCGGGCTGTTCGGAACAAATTACCACAAGGATCACGGCGTTAAAGCAGTGGCAGAGGGAAAACTGGCCGAGAAAGACATCGACAATTCTCTCAGGAACCTGTACATGGTTCTTATGAGGGTCGGATTCTTCGATAACATTCCGCAATACGAAAACCTCGGTGTCAAAGATATCTGCACACCCGAGAACATCGAATTGGCAAGAGAATCAGCGCGACAAGGTATCGTTCTCCTCAAGAACGAGCGCAATACTCTACCTTTGGCATCGACCAAGGGCAATAAGAAGCTCAAGGTCGCTGTTGTTGGCCCCCATGCTCAGGCTACCGATGTCATGAGAGGAAACTACGCAGGTGAAACATCTATCCATATCGATATCATTTTCACACTGGAATATCAGTGATGAGCTAATTATGAAGAGACTAATGCATATGTAGGTCCTCCGTGCCAAATCACATCACCTGAGAACGGAATCTCCAGACATGTCAACGTGATCACAAGACTGGGATGCGATGATTTCCGATGCAAATCTGCGCATAACATCTCTGAAGCCGTGGAGGCTGCAAATATCGCCGACGCCACAATCATTGTCACAGGACTGGATCCGTACCATATTGAGGGAGAGGAGAAAGACCGAGACAATCTTCTTCTCCCTGGTTATCAGACTCATCTCATCGAGCAAGTCGCCGAGGCCTCCAATGGCCCTGTCGTGCTCGTTATCATGTCTGGCGGTGGCGTTGATATCTCGTTTGCGCAGAACAACCCGAAGATTGGTGCTATTCTCTGGGCTGGTTATCCCGGCCAAGAGGGTGGGCACGCCATCGCCGATGTAGTCTTCGGACGATACAATCCAGGTAATGTAGAAATTTAAAGCATTCGTGTGATGATCAAAGTTAGTCACTTGCCCGGAACACTTACTCCAAGTTCTTGAAACAGGAGGAAGGCTCCCACTTACATGGTACACGAACAAGTATGTAAACTTGCTTCCGATCACGTCGATGCGGCTCCGACCAGATACCGAGCTCGGCTACCCCGGCCGAACTTACAAATTCTATGACGGCCCCGAGATCCTCTATCCCTTCGGCTTTGGCCTCAGCTACACCGGGTTCAGATACACAATCAAGAACTTCTTGGCTGCCGCCACTGCCGCCACCATCGCCATGTCCTCCTCCCACCAGAAATGCAAGAATGTAACCTACAGGGCCGACACTTTCGGATTCGCGCCTCCGAAATGCCAGTCGGTCGTCGTCGCAGACTCTCCCTGCGGTGAGACGATCAAGATCGACGTGCAGGTGACGAACACCGGGACGGTCGATGGGACTGACGTCGTGTTAGTGTACTCGAAACCTCCAGTGGAGATCGACGGAGCTCCGTTGAAGCAGTTGGCGAAGTATGAGAGGGTGTTTGTTCCGGCAAAGTCCGCGAAAATTGTGAAGTTTGAGCTGAATGCTTGCGAGGCCCTGGGGATTGTTGACAGCACCGCTTATGTTGTTCTGCCGGCAGGGAAGCACATGATTCAGGTTGGGGATGGAGAGAAGGCTGTAGGGTTTCCTGTTGAGATTAAGTTCTGATGCTGATAATTCTTGTTAGCCTACTGGCTTCAGTGAGCTTACTATTCAACGAGCAGTTGAATATTTTGTGCACAATTTGTAGTTTTGATTTAATAAATGCTAAGAAGTGATTATCTGACATGGCTGTTGACAGGATATCTTACTTTCTGTCTGTTATTTGAGAGATCAAGTTATATATGCAGAAGCTCTCAGAAACATTCTCAAGCATTCATAAATGAAATCATTTTCAAATGGGGATTAGTTCTGAAAAACAGAAGAAAGATGAAAGTTAACGACAAGAATAGCCGCAAATTTAAGACTTACAACTTGAATACTTGCAAAGAGAAAGTGACAGAAAATCTGACGTCTGAAAAAAAAAAACTAAGGTAAACAATAATTGCAAATTCAAGAAATATCTAATGCAAGAAAAAGTCTAAGCAAATATCCCCCATATGCAATGATAATAACAATTGGCAACACTAAAAGCAAAACCTGCAACAACATGATAGACAAGATGACCACTATTTTTGCTATCAAGGGTTGCAACAAAGTTGTTATATAACTGTAGGGGCATAAACATAAAGCTTATTTATAAATGCATGCGATTGATAGCATCCCCGTATACATGGTCATTTTTATTTAGGCAGACAGCAGTAGCTAGCATCTTCAAATTCATGCTCTCATCCTGCTCACAGTAGTATCAATACTATTAGGGGCATGCCAATTTGCGCTTTCGGCAATCCTTAACGCAGTTTGATGGACAGCGACCAAGATCATCGTCGACACTCTTACGGCAGCAAACCATCTCATTCACTGCCGCAGATCACAGGACACGATGGGCTAATCAGCCAATTTCCTCTTGCGGCTGCTGCATCATCTCCGCGTGCGTTTCGCAAGCATGAATGTCGAGCTGGCTGACAGAAGCAAGCGACGCTGTTGTAACGCTCTGTGACACGATCGTCATATTATTAGCCATTTTATTTGGTATTGCAGATGCTAGAAAGCTCCATGGGGGTGGAGGGTGAAAGGATATATGTATGGAGGTAACACAATCTAAGTGGCTTACTCGGTTTCAGTTTATGAAGGCATACTAGAAATTTTTAATCTTTTGAGAGGTAAACCATAATATACAAGAATGCACGTCTCTTTACCTGTTCAATGTTAATAACGAGGTCATCATACAGGGATTGCAGACAGTTAAAACGTATATAGTTCACTGTTATCTCATCGTCACAGGCTTTTTGAGCTTGACTCCCAGAAAACTGGGTACTGATAATGCTTATGAGCCTGTTTTAAATAATAAATAGTTGAAGCCAAAGGTATCATGTTTGACAATACCTACAATCTACAAACAATAAGCAGTCCACACATTTGAAACTATCTACCATCTGCATCGGGTCCTCGAAAGGACCGAAATGACTTGATATCTCAAACTTGGTTCACCAACCTTTCGATATAAACAACCAACACTCCATTCTCTCAAGTGCGACGTCGTAAATAGAAGCTGAATTGCTTTTGAAGATTCGAAACCACAAACTTTTGTCACTCCTCGCCAGTAGATGAATAGAACTCAGCCATCTGCATACCCCTTCCAGCTACTGCAATTTGGTACATTCCACTGGTTGCAATAAACAGTAACGACAGTTAATATCCATATTGCCCCTATAGAGAATAAAATGACACACAACCATTTGAAATAGTTTGGTTATGCGCAGCGGAGGCCATTAAATGCACCAATTAAAAATACTAGAGATAAGCCAAAGAGGGCTTGGTCAGGAAATTACTAAGAAGGTTATGATAATGCCTAACTAAGTGGAGGAGATAGATCTCAACAGAAGTGAATGAGTATGATTCATGCAGAGTTTTGGGACAAGACGTTATAGTTGTTGGTGGTGATAGTCAACATCTACAGCACTGGCCTTGGAACCAATTAATTGAAAGACAAGAAAGAGACGGTGAAGAGTACCAAAGAACATTCACCTGCCGCAGTTTAACGCATCCAATGCTTCTGGCTCTGGGACACTAACTACCAGATGAGAATGCTCAATCAGTTTTCCACACTGACCAAGTCTCCAACACCTTATTCTTTGATCCAAACCGGTGGAGAAGGCCCATATGCCATCTGTCCATATGCCTGAAAAAAGAAATTCTTGTGAGAACAAAATTTGTAGTGTGGACCTGATACAGCTGGGTGAATCCTTTTCAGAGGCAGCTATGCTTAACTAAAAGCAGACGAGTGGTAATGTAATACTAAAGACTCGAGAAAAAGAAACTCAAAAGTTCCATGCAAGAAACTTGCTTCTGGTTTTAAACATCAGAAAAACCAGCATGGCAGGATTCATCCCATGTATAGACAGTGCTGTAGACCAAAAACGAGACCATGGGCTGATACCTTTAACCGCTGAACTGTGAGCAGAATCAACTTTATCTCGATAATGTACCCTAAGCTGATAGTGGTTATGCATGCTATGACTAGAACACTTCTCAGTGAAGATTGATCCTGCCAGAAAATAGTTTCCCATCAGTAGCAAATTACAATCCAAGGAAAAAAAGAAAGCAAGCATCACACTGTACCTGACTCCCGACCAGTTACACAATCTGGCATGCGATTCGATTTTTCAGTTGGCTCACTACTACAAGAATCACTCTTCATTGTTTTCCTCGTTAAATCAAAGACAAGGTAGTTCACTGCCTGATCATCTCCACCACTTACAAGACAGTAAGTTTCAGATTTTGACAGCAGACAATCCATTCTTTCTGAAACATGGAGGCAGTTAACACCAGACTGGTGAACTGAATTGAGAATATGCAGGGGCCAAACTTGATGAATCTCAGATGATGCTATGTTGGAATTTGGCTGAGAAGTTGTCTGATTTTTGGCAGAATCACTTCTCCCGAAAGATGAAGGGTCAACTGGAACTTGTTTGGTACCCTGACCATTATGATTGTCACCAGCAGCTTCTGTTGCGGTAACTGAAACCCTGGCATTCTTCTGGGAGGGTTGATGCTTCAAGGATTTCCACCATCGACCTCCCTGGCTTCCTCTACCTGTCTGTGGCCGCCTTTGACAACCCATAAGCATTTCTAGTCTGAGCTCCAAAGTTCTTTGCATGAAACCATCAATGGTTTCGGTAATATCCCAGAAAGTAATGCTTCCATCGGTAGAACCACTAACGATGATATATGAATTTCCTGATCTAACAGTACCTACAAATGCAGAAGCACACAGTATTACTACAACAAAGATGATGGCAACTACTAAACTGTGCAGTGCACTAGCTCATGTTCATTGTGAAAAGTCAAAATTCTGATGTGTGCTTTTCTTAGAAATGACTCCCAAACCAGCTATCCCCAAGAAAATAAGGGCAAGTCATCCTTATTAAAGGTACAAGGAGCTTCCTCAAAAAAATAAATAAATAAATAAATAAATGTCCAAGGAAACCATAAAACGGGAGCACAAACAACAAGAGGAATGTACTGAAATATAGACAATCAATTATTGTTATCAGGTCGAGTGAACAGTTCTAAGACTCAGATCTCTCAGAGTATTAGTTTGTTTATTAGATATTTGATTATTTTAATGAAGTAGAATGGAAATATCTAGAAACCCTAACCAAGAAAATCAAAATCGAAGGTGCAGACAAGGAAAAAAAATTAGAAGGGACAGGATATGAAAATAGATTATGCAAGAGAGGGTACAAAATGAGCATGAAATTGAAATAAAATGAAAGACAAAGTTTAAAAAAACTAATCTTGGAATTGATACTGCAACTTGCCACTCATATGATTGCAGCCTATTTTACACAGGTATGGGTACGGACTACGGGTGCAGTTCGCGTGCAGTTCAGGTGCAGATGCGGGTACGTGACATGGAAAACTTGTCAAAGGTAGGGTACGGGACACGGATATATAATTGTATATACACATTGAAATTGATAATTACATGAGAATGATGAAAATTAATTTTGTTTATTACATCCACATGTTATGAAAACTATAAAAAAACCTATAGGATTTTATGTTTCATATATTAAGTAGATTATAAATTGGAAAGCCGCCTTTTTTTACTAGATACCTAAAACCCTCCAAAATAATACATTCGAATTGAGTATGGGCTGTAACGAAACCAGCCGGTGTCTAGCAAGTTGCAAGAAGCCAAGAAGTAGACGCGGAGTGTAAGATATACGTCTAATGTGTATGATGAGTGTTTTAAACTAGAACATCTATATGTAATTGAGTACAGGTCTGACAAATATATGCAAATTCAAGGAATGTCCAAAGAGTGTGGAGTCAGATATAGGTACAGGAGCACAGATATGGTGTCAGGATAGATTAAGTTGCAGCAGTTGGCGCCTGCTGTAGTCATCTGAAAATGAGGGGGATGGCAGTTAGTATTAGAAAGGACCAAAACTACATTGTTCAAGGCTGGTTGACTTGATCCATTGTCAATTTTTAGTTCACTTCTTGCATTTATTATTCTCACTCGCCCACCCCTCTCAATAAATATCAAAGTTTCCTTATTTCTCATCTTACTTCATTGCTCAGATGATTTGAAACAATAGGTCAATGAGTAAACTATTAGAGGTTTATGTTGAATAAACATAAACATAGAATAATATAAACAGCTTAAGTTGTTAGATTTGTGTGCACAATTCTGATAAATTGTTCTGAGCTCTAAAAATCATAATGCAAAACATGCTGGATAATGAAGTGCTTACCTTCAACCTGAAAAAAGCTAGGAATGACCAAATGCTGCAAAGCTAGAACTGGAGATGTTTCTGAAACCAATGTAGCAATGTCAACCCTGGAAAAGATATCATGGAGAATGAAAAATAAATACATGCTGCATCAACTGATTATCCAACAACCCCTGATAGGAAATAGCTTTCTTAGTGAATATTACATACCACAGCCGGTTAGGCAGCAGAAGCGCCCGTAGCATTAGAGTAGCATCCGAACAAGCAACCACAACAAAACAAACATTTAACCTGGTATTCAAGGAAAGACGACAGACTAAGCATTGCATATAAATCCATTTTAAAATACATATATGCACCTAAACAACAAATAAGCATTACGCTACCTGCTATCAACATGCTTCACAAGAAATGCAGTGACAGCCATGTATCTCCAGTCATTGTCTTGTCGATCCATAAGCTCTGATTTGGGCTTCAGTTTCTTTGTTTTAGTTAAATCTGATTCAAGCAGGGTAATTTTCGTGGTTAAACAATTTCCATTTTCAGGAGCTTTTGGTTCCCTTTTCACTTTCTGATGAGAACTAGCAAACTTGGGTGGCATATGAGTTGAGAGCCACTGGAAGTACATTGACAAAGTAGGACTATGTACGTCTTCAGAGTCTGTATTTGCCCCATTATGGTGCAGATTTTCAATGTCTGTACTCCTATATTGTAGAAGCCAAGACGTCAAAACTTGCTTGGCCCCAACAGAGATAAGTAATAATGGGTTATCATTTTTGTCAGCTACACCGTGATTAGAACCGCAACTTTGACTTGTAGTAATTATGTGTGTCTTCGATACAAAGTAAACAGACCTAACAGCAGATCCGCCCACATGCTCCCCAAGCAATTTGGACTCACACCATCTCCCCATGTCAAAGCCTCTGTACCTGCAATGGGAATCCAGTTATAGTGAAACTTCTTCATTTGGTGGACTATCAATTAGGTTATCGCATTTTACGGGTACCAAGATAAATGAGGGCATATTACAAGCTAAAGCAAGGGCTGGGAATCTGATAGACATTAATGCACAATTCGCATGGACCAATACAAGCTCTGTGATGACCATTAACCAACTTTTCAAGCCAAGCTTAAGCATGATTTAAGCACAATTCTTGAACAATCTATGCTCAAGATATACCTGGCTAAACGCCCATCTCCCATCCATTTGAAACAAGGTAGGGAAATAATATCTTACTTTGAATCAAAAAAATATAGTAGGATGTTATTGGAAGTACTCTACGTTGTGTTTTCTAAACTATTAGCTTCTAGATATCCTTCTCGCCGTTCAGGGTTACTCGTTACTCTGATTCAAATTAACCAGTATAGAAACAAAGAACAGAATAAGTTCATTGCTCTTGCATGGTAACAATGATATTTAACTTCAAAGATATCAGGAAGAAAATACTACCTATTACTCTGTGTTGCAGTTTGAAGCATTCTGCATCGTAGTTTCTAAACAATTTGCTTCTAGATATCCTTCTGATCATTCAGGATTACTCTATTTATTACTCTGCTTCAAATTAACCAGTATAGAAATAAGAACAGAATAATTCATTGTTCTTGCATGGTATTAATGATGTAACATTATAGATCACCTGGAAGAAAATACAATTGATTATGATAATTAAAATCATGTATGAAGAATATTAAGCATGAGCTATGACATTTCTTAAAAGTTTATATTTTAGACTACGATTATGCATTGAGCTGCCTTTCTGCAATGATTTGGTATGTTCATTAATAATTATACGTATGAAATGACAAACAAGATAACCATTTCGCTTTTTTAATTTTTTTTTTAAAAGGGCGTCGCTTAATATTAAACAAGTTTGGAAGTATAGTTTGTTATGCACATCTTGAGTCTAAGGAATTCGTTAGCACTTTGAAGTTTCACAGAGTACTTTATTTGGCACCACATATTAAACAATCCCATGTGCTTCTTAAAGGACTTATAGTGCAGTTAATGTTTCTTCATCTTATACCAATTGCTTGAATTGAAAAGCTCAGCCAACATGGTCAGTTAAATACTTCATTTCCATTGTCTTATGTAGTCTTCTTAGATGAATGACTATCAAATGGCATCAGCAACAAGGTGGACCGGGGAGTAGTTCATGGTGCAGACTGCACAGTAGAAGGCATGTTGCTGACATGGTCAATGGAGGGTCATAACAAAGAGGAAACTCGTACACTATTGTCTAGAGAAGATCGAATGGCAGGCCTCAGAAGAAACTGGTAATAGACACTGAACTGAAGAAGCAACAAAACACAGGACCAATATAAACTGAGGCCATGTATTTGTACATGTTTTTTCGAATTCAGATTAATGATTTAATTATTGGGATTCTCCCAATTCATAGGAGTTTAACAATTTCTTCCTTTATAGTGCTTGAAGATCCAAACCTAATATCAAGATCTCGTAAACCCGTCGTACCCATTTCTTTCAAACGGTCATTCGAGGGGTAAAGGCCTAACTAGTCTCCACAACCAGCCCATTCCTGGTGTGTAGTCTTTACAAGTCTGTACTCTGAACATGACAATCCAAACTTGGTCAACAATTGTATGCTGCTACAAGCCCTATCTCAAGATCTGGAATTTAAAGGCAATTGGATGCGCTTGAATATGAATCTCAAATCTGAGATATTTACTTAGTTTACACATCACACGAGGAAACTTGCAGTTGAAGAATAATGATAGAGATGCAGAAACATATGCCTGCAAATAGTGTCAGAAAGAAAATATCACACACTATTTTTACAAAGAGAACGACACATTAAATAGAATGAGCAAAAATAAGAACTTTTATTTTAATCAATTGATATAAGTAGTATAGTAAGAATTGACAAAGTGACTTCACTATCAACCTTGTTAATCGCACAGTTCCATCTTCACATCCTGTCGCCAGACATGAGTAACAACTTTTCATAGGAATGGATTGCATTCCAAATGATATGAAGCATACTGAATGTGTCTCTCTCCCATGGTATTGTACATGCAAAACCTTAGGAATAAGCTCCCTCTCCTTCACTGGTAGCCATTGTCTATGGATATGAATGTCATTATCCTGGGAAATGAATACCACTGTCAGTTCACATAAATTTCCTAAATCCTTAGGTAAAAAAGCTATGCTTTACCATATGCTGCTTAAAAGATTACATCTTTAAGGTTATGAGTGAGACACCAATTACATGATCTTCCCACAAGCTTGAAATTTCTCAAAAGATATTCTTTTCTACAGTAATTAGGTGACCGTTCTATTTTCAACTTTCATAAGAATATGATGTTGAAGTAACAGCATTCTGATGTAAATAAAATAGACTGCCAATTGCTTAGCAGCTACAAAAATGTAAAGTTTGAGGAATTAATGACCAGGGAGAGTCATAATTGACATTGTTGGGCAGTTTGTTAGTAAGCTCACAGACTGAACCCATAAGATATATCTTTAAACATGGGAACTTTGGAATTCAATTCACTTGGGTTATAATCCATCTGTGGATTATATCCCAAGCGGATTATAATTCAGAGTGTTTGGTAAATTTGGTGGATTATAATCTGTTTCACTAGTAAAGTGTTTGGCAAATTGGTGGATTATAATCTACAAATTGGTAGATTATAATCTATCATTGTTGTCAAACTGACCAAAAGGACATGGGGCTAGTGGTGAGTTAAAAAAATGAGGTATGGGATTTTGTAAAACCATGAGGGTACTATTTACTAGGTCAAACCTAATGGATTATAGTCCACCAAAAAATAACCTGGGTACCCCAGCTCTTTTTTTTTTTTGGTTGATTGTAATCCAAAATAATCCACTTGCCAAATATCCAAATCCACTTTTGTGGATATAATCCAATTTAACCACTTACGAAACATGCTCTATATTTTGAAAACCATGTTCACCTTGTAACTCCCCACCCATATTGACATGCTCCAATATAATTTAGGAAACTATGTGCAGATGTACTTCTAGATTATTTCTATCAAGGTTTTCTAGCGCTAAAACTATTAAATATTTGAAAAATGAAAAATATATACAGCATATAAAAATAATTAACCATAAGGCACATGTCACACAGAAATTAGGAACAGATTAAACCTTGGACCCTGTAAAACGGCAGGCTGTACTTCATACTATTCTTTCTAGACTAATGTTTAGCAGTTTTTAATCAGAACGAGTACTTCTCGTAAAGGAATGGCAGATTGTGCTTCATACTATTCCTTCTAGACTAATTTTGTTGCTCAGAAGCTAGCAGTTTTTAATCAAAACGAGTGATACTCGAATCCCACCACCACCACACATGCGCACACGCAAAGGAAAGATGAGAAGAAGAAGAGTTGAAAACCAAAAACTATTATTGAAGCAGTGCCACTATTAAGTAATTAAACACTCAGTTTAAGAATCGAAAAGGGTAGGGGCATGTTTGGCAACCAGAAAGTAAATAGAAAGTAGAAACTGAAGAGAAAGTACTTTCTTTAAAAAGTACCTTCTCCTCACTTTCTTTGCAGATCTTGTTTGGTAATCAGAAAGTGAAAATATGGAAAGTTGAGGTGGCAGTTGATGTGGCATCTATTTTTTAATATATTTTTTGGTTTATATGGAAATTGATTAATTCTCTAAATAATTTATGAAAACGAATTATTACTGCACATATCCAAAGTTTTACATGATTAAAATCTTAGCTACATCTAACCATCTTCAAGTTTAACCAGGTTTACTGTCATTCTGCTTAACTGCTACACAACTGGTGATTTTGGCATTCCAACAAGTATATTAAACATAAATGACAATTTTAGAAACATAAATTTTGAAATTTATAAATTACTCAATGATCATAACATATTCAGCATTGACACAAGTCAGATAAATACCAGACTTGATTTTATTTTATTTTATTTTTCTGTATATAATTCCAACAGACCCACCAATAAAGCAAAAAATTGTTCCATCGTCGAAAAGGAAAAAAATGTAATTGACATTTCTCAATTAATGATAAGTATGTAGTAAATTTTAATGCTTTCCTAGTGCTTTGATACCGTGTTAATTGATCTGGTATTGTAGATTAAATTCGTGTTATCCAAATGTAAGAGCATGCTTGTCAACTTATAGATCACAACTAAAAGTCAGAAATATTTTTAGGAAGATGTATATATATGCAAATCATGTGTAAGAAGTTCAAAAATTTTGCTAGGGGGAGAATGTCGCACAAGATAGGAGTACGAAGCATGAAGAGATCAAAAAATTAAAATTTTGAAGGCAACCGTTTCAAAATTAGAATAGATGTAAAAAAAATAAAAGAAAAATATTATTTCCTCTCCTCTCTCTTCACCTTCCATCCACTTTCTCCATTTTTTTTAAGAAAGTGAAAGGAGTTTTAAAAAAAGCCGACGTGGCACCCTCCACTTTTTGTTTACTTTCCAATCACTTACCAAACGCCAAATGGACAAAAAAATAGAAAGTGGAGCCACTTTCCAATATTTGGTCCACTTTCCATTTACTTTCCAATCGCCAAACATATGCCCTAAAGCTGATCACACATATAAACTAATCTAATACTAAAAACTAATCATCTCTCCAAAAACTGCTGAAGCAATTTATACAAACTAGTACTTTCTATTCTGCACAACATCCTGAAAATTAAGTATGTAATGCAATTTTTTTAAAGAGTTGAAAAAGTAACAGTTATAGACCTTTAGATACGCAAAACAGTTTTGATGTTCAGGAAAATCTCCAAGATAATAAGAGTTTGGACGCCGCCATCCTCCACAAGAAACTTGTACCACCTGCTCAAGTGTGCATAAGATGATTCAGTTGCATAAACAAGAGGAACAATGTATTGTTAAATGTTCCGCATAGTAAAGCATATCAGATAAAGAACCTTTGACTCGTTCTTTAGGTTCCATATTATAAAATCTGCAGACATAAACCCTACTGCATAATTTCCCTGTGCCAAGTTTTCCTTAGATGCAGACTCAGTACGGAGACACTGAATCGTGCTCAACTCTTTCACTTGCTTCATTCCAGTAAATTCCAAATGCTGGCTATTTTTGCTATATCTGAAATAGCAAATGCATCCATCGCCACCAGTCTATAAACGAGAGAAAGCAAGAGGTTTGTTACGGGACTCATATAATGTTAATAAGAGATTCAGGCAGTCAGTACCGTGTGCACTTCAACTTCATACATATTCAGTGTAGTAATCAAAACACTGGTAACACAAGATATCCCATGGGCCCCTTTAAATTGACTGAGTAAAGGAACCTTCTCCTCTATCTTACTCGAGTTATCAACTAGAAGACCCTCTGACAAGGGAAACACACTAAGATTGCCCCGCTGATCACCACATATCAAGACCTGCAAGAGTATAATTTCCAGTTTATAGAGTAGCTTTCAAGCATTTCCAACAAGAGAATCGATATAAATAGTTTAAGACAGTGGATATTACATGTGAATCATAAATGCTCTCTGTCAATGAACACATAATATTTTCACATAAGAAACACATATCATTTAGTCTTTAGCTTACTCCGCAAATATTTGTAGCAATGCAGAAACTATAGAAATATGCTTCAAATCCTTCAATCCAACCCAGACTCATTGCAGAGATGTAACAACTACAGAAATATGCTTCCGACAGCCTTTGTAATGATCATGTTTTATAAGTTTGGGCACCAAGAACATTCCTTGGTGAAACACCCTAGGGAAAAGGTTAAAGCAATAAACTGATAAAACATGATTCCACTTGTCAAGTCATCATTTAAAAGATAAGACATCATTTATCTCTTTGTTCCAGTCCTCTTATTTAACAGATAAACTAAAGTAAAAAAAGCTATGGAAAATATTTAGATACAGAATGAAAGATAAAATAACAGATGACACAATGTGCGCTCAACGTTGTAGAGTAGATTAATAGAAAATGCATACAAATCTAATAGAGCTCATGCGGGCTCCAGTATTCTGTTGTTAATATTCCTAAATAATAAGAATGCACTTCAAACCAGTTACCTCTTCTCTAATCGATGCATCTAAACTCATGATCCGTGTGCCAAAAGATGATGAAAATACAGCAGCTAGAAACACTGCATGCACATTAGTATTGTCAGCATTTGATTGCGATGTGCCAATGTTCCACAATTTTAATGCTCCTCTAGGATCAGCTGTAAAAAGGTGGCTGCATAAGATAAAATGATCAGTGTTTTTCATGGATGAAACATGAACCAAGCCTGAAAGGCACTTACTTGCATCCAAGTGATTTGCACCAGTAAATTCCCAACAGCTGTCTATCTTTTTCTGCTGACCAAGTAGAACACACTGCATATTTAGGGATAGGATCCCCATCTACAGCTCTAATTACAGTCACATTTCCTTTGCCATCTCCAACAGCCACAATATCTTCAACGCAAGCAGATAAGTTTAAGGAAATAATATCCATACAAATAATAGGTGCTTCCTTGCTGACTTGTGCAATTTCGGTCCATAGTGCATCCCCGTCAAGCAATTTCACGTGATATAAATAACCATTGTTTGTAGCAACATACAGTATATTTTCTCGAGCGAAGCGCAAACAGCGGATATACTCACTTTTGCTGTCACGAAAGACAGGTTGAAAAAAAAAACAATGTGAAACTCTAGAAATTAGCCAATTGGAAAGGGCAGGAGATAAAATCGATATATCAACCAAAAGCAAATGTTATATACAATAAGACAACTGTGAAAGAGAAAGAGACAGATGTATATACAAATAAAACCAGATGGCAGATTCAGTAATCGTAAAGAAGCTACACAAGATGAAAGGACAAGAGCAGATAATCATAATGATTACTACTACTGTTATTACTATCACTGTGTTATTAAAGTAGTACTACTAGTCTACTATTGATATTGTGGAGGGTACAATTACATAAGATTGAATTTTCTCCTGTTGGGAGGAGAGGAATTAGCCTCACTTTTCTACCATTAGATGTGGCCATCCTATGGCTCAAAAAGTGGGATGACATCATCCCCACTTTTTTGCGGCGATATCATGCACCACTAGTCACTTACAGATATTGGATTAGAAACCTAATGGCTATTAAAGTGGGAAGAGAATAAACCCCTCCAATTAGAAGGAGCGCATATTATCGCCTGTATATTATGCAGAAGCAGACATAAGAAAGGTGTGTGTGTGTGTGTGTGTATATGAATATGTCGGCGTGTGTCTATATATATGTGTATATATATACAGGCGCNTGGTAACAAACATAAAATTAGTGCTCGATAGTGAGATGATCACTTCTCATCCACTTATTTAAAGGGGGGACAACATTCACATGGGTGCACCAGGTTGGATAATTAAATGAACGGATAAGTGGCCACCTCATTACCAAGCACCAAATTTGGTGATTGGTACCACGCATACTCATTATTCTCATATATGTACGTATGTATGTGTGTGTGTAGGAGCACTATTAGCGACACTCGCTCAAGTCGAGTGTCGCAACTTTTTTGGCATGTCATTTTGCTTTGGATAGAAACTCTTGTCCACCAACTTTTTTGGCATGTCATTTTGCTTTGAGATTTGTGTCTTGTCCACCAACTTTTTTGGCATGTCATTTTGCTTTGAGATTTGTGTTAGACATAAAGGGTATCATTGAGATGTGCGCATTGATTTGTATCACATGCTAGCATAAATCTCAAAGTAAAATCAATGGATAAAAAAGTTGGTGGACAAGAGTTTCTGTCCACTTAAGTTTATAGGAGCTTTACTCATTTTGTGTGTGTGTGTGTAAAAGCAAAACCAAATAAAAAAAACCAATAACGGATGAAGAACCAAACAAAAGTTAAGCAATACCTGTCCATCAGGCCAAACAAGTTTGACATTTTTGGAGCACAAATAGTGAAGGTCTCTGTTCGGTTCTTCGATTCATTTCGTAACCCATCATTGGCTGTAATCTCCCTCAAGGAAGAAGAACGAAGTAAATGTACTTTAATAGCAGAATCAAATCCAGCAGTTACAAGTAGAGATGAGCCAGGATCATACAAGCATCGCCATATGCCTCTTCCACTGCACAATTGCAAGTGTCACGACGCATAATAATGCATTGATACGTATCTGAGCTACAATTTTCTATATTATCAACCTACACGTGCTCTTTAATTGTTGAAAGCTGCTTGCCATCCATTCCCCATAATCGACAAGTACAATCCTCGCCAGCTGTAATTACTACCTGCAAGGAAATTTTAGTTTGAAGAACCAATACGACACCTATAATTCATAACAATAGCAAGACATAGGGACTAGGTGTTGCAGATTCAACCATAAGCATCTTGATTCTCCATTTGAAAATTTTAAGAGTAATATTAAATTAATAATAATATTTATCTGCATATCCACAGTTATCTTTCAGAAATGTTTGTTTTTGCTAAGAGACCATGCTCTTGCAATACACAATACAACATCTGGGTCGTAGAGAAATAGTTTTCACTAAGTTTGATTTTAATAAATAAAAGAAAAATATATGGTACTAAAACTTTTTAGTCCACTGGTTCTGACGTTAGACTTCTAGTTGTTTCCGTCACCATAAGATAACAACGGCATACTAAAATTTGTCCCTTTTTTTTTATATCAAACTTATAGTCACAGCAGCAGCTGTGGCAAGGGTTTTGATGTGCCCTTTCTGAACCTTTTTGTTGGCTTTTTATTTCCATTTTTATTGCTGGAAGTTCAACGATTGATTCCATGACTGTATTAAAAAAATAAAAGGATGCTAACAGGAATTGTATTCACCATTTTCCAGATTTCATACTCTCAGGACAGAAATTCAAAGTTACAATGCACATGGAACGGAGGACCTCAGATAGGTAGCGGTGGTCCATAAGATTGCATAGCACAATGGTTGCAGTGTTATAATTAATTATATGTAGCTTGAAAGTATATGAGATGGAAACGCCAAGCCGCTAAACTATGAAGAGGAAAATAAAAGATATTAACATAACATATCTACTCCCCTATACTTAGAGAAGAACCCAAATGAATATTGTTCATGCTACAGTAATGATACAGTAAATATTGTTGCTTGAACAATAAATCAGGTCTGTCCTCTACACTCGAAGTATTGTTCATACTACAATAATTTACGGTTGCAGTAAATCAAATCTGCTCTTCATACTTGCAGTTACTATTCATACTACAGTATTTACTGTATCATAAACAATAAAGAAAATCAAATGTATTAAAACTTGGATCTTTCTTTAAGTATAGATGAGTAGATATGATTTCTAAATCAAATGTATTAAAATTAAGATCCTTCTTTAAGTATAGAGGAGTAGATATAATTTCTAATTTTAAGCATACAATAATTAAATCAAATGTATTAAAACTTAAAGGGAGGCAAATTCAAAATGCAGTGCTTAAAAAATAGGGAGCCGTGCTTTGCACAGGGTGCACACTAGTTAACAAGAAATGATAGGTCTTCTATAAGAAGACAGAAAGTAAATAAATAAATAAAGGAAAATTGCTGCCACCAAATTTTGTTCAATGAGAGGTATTTGACTTCAAGAAACACCTCAAATTATCTTTTCGGTGCATCATTCATCAGTTCTAGTAATCGTAGGCCAAATTGTGATAGTTACAGGAAGCATCCAAGATAAACTGAAGAATTCAGGTTACTGCAAGTAGCTACCAAATTCCTGATATTTTAGAAACTGCTAAACCATTGGAAAAGAGCCTCACCTACTGTCTATACAAATCAAGCTGATACACAATAATATACAAAAAATTTGGGAAAATGACAATAGTAATGTATGGGATAAGGATCGCAGAAAACAACATCAATATCAAAGGTTGTAATAACCCTGATTTTTCCTTGATAATAAGTAAAATATTTGACAAATTACTTTAGTATTATTCATGGTGTTTAATTAATTATGTTAATTATAAATGTTAAATTATAAGGACTTTTTTGCAAAGAGACTCTAAAAGATATGACAAGATATATAATATAAGCTCGTTGTGGGGTTTATTTGTAATTATGTGTTTGAGGTATTTTGCAAATGGATGTTCTTAAAGGGGTTTATTAGAAATACATATCTTAAAAGAAAAATCCTAAGTCTCATCTCTCTTTGAGAGCAGCCGTTAAAAATAAAAAAACAAAAACAGAAAAGTTTTCTGCTCATGTTCTCTGGAGGAGCGGAGGCAAGAAACCTTCAGAAAGGAATCATCTCAAGGGAGAAGGCGATGGGTGTTTGATCATCAAATAAGATATATTGTCTTATACTATATTATATTTATGTAGAAGTGTGTGCATTGATTTAATGTTGTGCAACTAATTATTATATTAATTTAAGCGGGTCTTGTAATTGATGGTCGAGCATGAATTCTATGGCCCTATTTGAAATCCCTGAACACATCTCTTCATCTTTGTTTCTTTAGAAGGGATCTCGATGCCGATTGCGAGTTGCTTTTGAAACTATAGACATGCGACCAAATTTGTGGCCATAGCAGCAAGCCCCATCTGTTTTTGATGAAAAAGTTATTTTAATGCTTAGCCCATAGCAACACCTTCTTAAGCCATTTTAGATATTATAAAATAGACATTGTGAGCTACTATTTGAGGCGTACATAAGGTATCAAAAGCTTAATTTCTATTTGGTTAGAGGCTTACAGGTTATGGTCTTTAAAAGAAAAGCCAGTAGAGTTAAGGAAACTATTAATGTACTGAGATTATTAATATGATATAGATTGTTTGAATAGCTAAATATGCATTAATATTTGGTGGTATGTTTGTATTGATGGTTGTTGACGTTAATTTCCTTAGAGTTTTAGATGCACCGGAGATGCATCGTGAATGGACATTGGATATTCGACTGGTTACGCTTTAAGTGGTGAATTTATACATTGTGCGCTGCGTATTTTCATATAAAATTATATTATATGTATATGTGAGATTTGTTCCCGATAGATTATATCTTTTTTATGAGTTACTCGCATATTAATTATTGGTAGTATCTGATGCTCATGGATATTTGATATAAGTCATGCTTATTTTCTTTGTTGACAATCATGTCTTTTCATATAGTAGTAATATAAGATGCATATGTGGTTAGTTAATTTCACTATTGGTTGGCCTTTGACAATTCTTTATAGAGTATTTGGTTATATGAACTTTGTTTATTTATCTTAAAACATATGCATATCAAGTCAATATACCGGTATATGTTGGAAAAAATAAGTAAGTCACTGTGGGCTCGATGTGTCTCTATGAGGTTTTTATTCAGCGCTATGAGCCCACATTTGGGTCTCACCATCCCAAACCACAAACTTAACAATTATGGGTTCACCAAGTCAATCAGATTATCAAAGTGTTGACCGTATTGAGACTTGGCCTGCTTACTTTTTCAATTGCATAATTTTTTTGATTTCGTTTCATTTAAAAGTGGTAATTTGACTTTTTGGTGACATTTCTCTCTCGTATAAATTTGTTCTCATTGCTTTTGGTTTATGATGGATTATCTTTTAGGTTTTGTAAAACTAGTGTATAAAGTATGAATTCATCTACTTACTGAGTTGTGAACTCATTGTGTTCATTGTGTTGTATTCAACTTTTTTAGAGACTCGGTATTAGGTGGATTGGAGGGACTCATAATTCTTTGAAATAATTGAGGAAGCTGATTCATCTTTGATAAATTATAAATTGTGGGTTTATGTGAAGTCTAAATGAATATTCTGATATTAGTTGAATTTTGGAATACTCTGTGATGAGGAGATTTTCTCATTAAATTTGAATTTTACTTCTAGTTAGGAGAATATTATTTTTCCCCCCTATGTAATTGGGTTGGTGTAGACCTTTTATTATGAAGGATTTTATTTCATATGGTAAAGGAATTTTTGTGGTTATTTGATAAATATAGATTTTTGGAGAAGAATTTAGCAGTTTTAGTCCGGCTTCAATGTTCCTTCGAGGTTCAGAAATTGGGGTCGTGACAAAGGTCTAGTTTGGACCTATGCCCAAAAGATCAACAGTTGAAGAGATGTTTCTTATTGTATGTTGCTTGTTGAGACAATTAATGGAAATTAAGCAATATGGAAAGAAACCTATAATTGCTCATATATTTTTACAATGTATACAA